TATTGGTACATTTATATGCACTACAATCACCTTTACAAGAAACACTTCTATTGAGAGTACATTATTTTAAACTGCGTTTTGTTGAAAATTCATACAGTTTTTGATCCCCGAAAAAAAATTAGTTAATAATAACCATTTAAAAGTAATTTTTTTTCATCGAGTCAAATTTCTAGTATTAAATTTCTTTTTAAAATTGTCTAAAAAATTTTCTCAAATGCAATTTAAATTTCACAGTAGAATGACACTGGTGAGTCAGAATACTACTTAATCTTAATTACCAAAGTGCCGTACGGTTAAAATAATGGAAAATATAAAAAAATATTTGGATCAGTTTTATAATCCTTTTTTTAAGCAACAACACCAATACATGATAAAAAAAATATTTGTTTGTAAAAATAAATTGCATGTTAAATTTTTCACGCATATTGTTACCAAAATAATAAAAGCATAATATTCATGAATTAATCAATTTGATTTTAATTTTAAAGTTCTATTATTTTCAACATAAATTATTTCAGTTAAACTGTTTTTCTTTTAGAGCTTCGAAATATTGTTATCGAAATCTGACGTTGCTTAATTATGTAACAAACATTGATTGTATTTCTACAGAATTAAGGCCATTACATAATGTAATGCTTCTTTTGAGAATATAAGAATTTTGATATAATTAATTTATTTGTGAAGTAAATTTTTCAAAAATGAAAACATAAAATTCCTAAAATCAATATGTAACAATCAATTACGCATAAGAACTGAGAAGTGTTTCATGTAAGCTATTGAATTCCACAACGAATTATAAAGTCTTCTATCGAATCATAAATTTTGTTCGTAATAACTTAATATCACAAAATAATGAAATGTTAGATCACTTCTACTATATTTTCAACGTTACGTGTATACAGTATAACACTCTGATATTAGTGATACTTTTTAAAACTTATACATGACTTCTCTCTAAGAATCGGACGGTGATTATATATGATTATGGAAAACCAATAATAAAAATATTTTTTATCGCAAGCACATCATTTTACAAAATACCTTATGCTGTTTGCATTCAAAAATCATAAATTTTTGTATTCAAATCTTTAGCATAGTAAAGTTATACTTAAAAAAATTTCGTCATGCTGTGCTTTTAAGCATTGGAGCTATTTGTAAGTTAATAACCCTAACTTGGTGACATAACAATCTAAAAAAAAGCTGTAATATTTCGAGCGCTCTCTGAGATGAAAGCTGCAATACATCTTGCACTCTCTGAGTTTTTTTATAAACTGTGAATGTTGGTATCCTTAAGTGCATAGCTTCTAAATTTTGCGAAAGTTTTGCCAACTTTATTTTAAATTATTATATCATCAAGATTAGTGAAATCCAGGAGAGTACCAGCATATTTTAAATGAATTAATTTATTTTTGTTCCACAAACGCTGTAGGTTTTATGTTATGAAGTTTTTTTGTGTATAAACTATATGTATATATCCAACTATTTGTTTTATATATATTTGATTAGTAACATCGTACGAAAGAATTTTATTTGTTTTGTAAATATATTCTTGATTTGCAAAAGCACAAGTCGAGCTCAAGTCGAAACTTCAATCACGCAAGCACCAAAGAAAACAAAAGACTCTATTTTGATGGATCAATAATAGAGTAATAAAATTAATTTTTCCGGTTCAATATATGGTACGTAAATACATAAAAAATTATTAAAATAATTATAAATCATATTATCATTTTGGTCCTAC